TGGGCATTGATGTCTCAGTGCTAGATGATAGCCCAACAGGTTTGCTTTAGCAAGCAGACCATTATGGTTGTTAAGATTCTGCTTGGTCCTTAATATGAAACTTTATTGTAAATGATTTAAGGAGTAAAACTGTAACTAAGTCTTAGCCTTCTATCTGAATTTGTGTTATTTTACTCTGAATGCAAGATTTGGACACAGACTCTGACTTCACCCATGTTCCTGTTGGCGTTCTAACAGTCAGGACTGAGGACACACCACCAGAGATCAACAGAATTGCAATCATCCTTGAAGGAAACATCATCTTGGTTGACATTCCCACAACCTGTCAAGCACTTTGTCTTATGTTTGGCTTAATATTGTCATGATGGGTCTTAAGTGTTCGCCCAAATGCAGAAGCACTCACTGAGGCAGGGAAAAGTTTAAAAGTTTATTGAAAACACTAAAGCACAGAGAGACAAAAACAACTGGTTTCCCAGGTTGGGGAAAATCCAGCGCTCTGGTGAATCGGAAGCGAAATCTCTGGGAAGAGATCAGAGTGGTGAGTTTGAGGTCTGTGGGAAAACCGGCTGATACTGAAAAATTGCTAGACAAGGACTCACTACTGTGGTTTTGCGGTTGCTCGAAGGTTCCCGTTTTTGGGGGCTTGCACCGTTATGGAGATTACCCTCGTGGAGGGCGGACAGGCAGACTATGGTAGTCCTGAGGAGCAGCTGAGCCGACTGTCACTTGTTTTCCTGAAGTGGACGGCGTTCTGAAAAGGTGAATCGTTTCCTTTTCTCAGGGTGACGACGGGTTCCTTCCAAGGCTAGAAGGACCAGGCTTATCCAGTGGATCTGTAGAAATCCTGCTGGAGATTCACAAGAGAGAAACTTGGTTAGCGCTTGAAAGCTCAGAAAAAACAAAAACTCAAAGTATTGACAAAACTCAGAGGGGCTAGAGTACCCAATACTGGCAAACACTCTGGCAAGGAGATGGTGACAGTCTGCTGCTCATATACTCCTCAGACGGTGATGACCAACGAGCTGCAGGTGTGAGTAGTTGAGAGCAGGAAGAGGCCCTCCAGGCCGACAGAGGAACAATGGCACCATCTGGTGGATGCACGGAGACACTGAAAAAGAACAAAAACAGCCACTACAAACTGGTACCCTAACTGATATATGCACTCCACCTGGATTACCTAAAAGCTATAAAGAACACGTTTGAGTTCATCCAAAAGCCTCAACTCCATCCTGGATACTCATGCTCCTGTAATAACCTGGACTGTCACATTCACACGTTCCGCTCCTTGGTTTACCAAAGAGCTAAGGCAAATGAAGAGGTCTGGCCATGTCCTGGAGCGGGCATATAAAACATCTGGCCTGACTGTGCATAAATTGGCCTACCGGGAACATCGCAGAAATTATGCAACAGCCCTCTCCAAGGCCAGGTCCAATTACTACTCCTCGCTCATCAACAATAACCCAGATAATTCCAGAAAACTCTTTTCCACAATCAGCCATATTCTCAAACCACAGGTCTCCTCCTTCTACAACCACACAGATATAAACTGCAACCGGTTTCTGGATTTCTTCATATCAAAAATAGACAACATCCGCTTTTCATTTTCACCTTCAAACAGCACCACTATTGATACCCCTCAGACATCTCCCACACAACTCCTATCACACTTCTTTCTGCCAACGCAGCAGGAGGTCGAGAACATCATCCGCAAATCTAAACCATCCACCTGCTCTTTAGATCCCCTCCCATCCCCTCTGCTCAAAACTCACCATCAATCCATTAGTCATCTCATAACCAAAATAATAGCCATTTCCCTGGAAACGGGTACCGTCCCATCTACCCTTAAAACTGCCCTCATTAAACCCCTCCTAAAAAAACCCACCTTGGACCCTGAACCTCTGTCAAACTACAGACTCATTTCAAACCTCCCATTCATCTCCAAACTCCTAGAAAAAAGTTGTTTCCACCCAGCTCCACAACCACCTTAAATGCAATAATCTGTATGAAAAATTCCAATCTGGTTTTCGTCCCCCCCACAGCACAAAAACAGCTCTCATCAGAGTCACCAGCGATCTGCTGATGGCCTGATTCCGGTTTCACGTCCGTCCTCATTCTTCTCGACCTCTCTGCTGCGTTTGACACAGTAGATCACCACATCCTCCTCCACCGCCTCCAGCATTTCATTGGTCTCTCTGGCACTGCCCTCCACTGGTTTCACTCCTACCTCACTGACAGGACCGAGTACGTGGCCCTGGGGGAGGCAAAATCCAGACCTCACACTGTCACCGGTGGGGTCCCCCAGGGCTCGGTGCTCGGCCCTACCCTGTTCACCATCTACATCAGGGGTGTCAAACCGGTTCCAGAAAGGGCCGTGTGGCTGCAGGTTTTCTTTCATACCAAACAATAGCACACCAGACTCCAGTCATCTCATCAAGTCATCATGTTCAGATTGGACATACTTGATGAGATGAATGGAGTCTGGTGTGCCATAGCTTGTTAGGAAAGAAAACCTGCAGCCACACGGCCCTTTCTGGAACCGGTTTGACACCCCTGATCTACATGCTCCCACTTAGTTGTGTCGTTGGCAGGCATCGGGTCAACTTCCATTGCTATGCTGACGACACACAACTTTACATTAAAAAGACTCCCCCCAGCTCCCACGCAAACTTTGTCACCCGCCTCAGCTCCTGCAAGGAGTATATAAAGGCATGGATGAGTCAAAACTTCCTGCAGCTTAATGCCTCAAAAACAGAGGCCATCCAAACTGGTACTCCTCATCAACTCCGTTCCTTTCCTCTCACCTCTGTTTCATTCTGTGGTCATACCATTCCCCTGTCTCCCTCTGTTACAAGCCTTGGGGTCAAGTTTGACCCCCACCTCTCCTTTGACAATCATGTCACCTCTATCTGCAAAACTTCCTTCTTTCACCTCCGTAATATTTCCAAACTCCGCCCCTCCCTATCCCTCCCTGCTGCAGAGAAACTCGTCCACGCCTTCGTCTCCTCCAGGCTGGATTACTGCAACGCTCTCCTCATCAGGATCTCTGGCAGGAGCCTTCAGAAGCTCCAGTACGTACAGAACAGTGCTGCCAGGCAGAACAGCTTCCCCAGCCTGATGAGCGTGAGGGAACACCAGCACATCACTCCCATCCTTCACACTTTACACTGGCTCCCTATTCACGCCCGTATAGAGTACAAGATTCTATTGCACACCCATCACTATGTGCACGGTGCGGCCCCCACCTATCTCACTGAACTGCTCACACCACAAACCTCTTCCCGGACCCGGTCAGGCCAACAACACCGTCTGGCCCCACCCAGGACACGGCTAAAAACAATGGGCGATAGAGCCTTCGAAGCCGCAGCTCCCCGTCTGTGGAATGCCCTCTCAGACCACCTTAGGGCCCCACAGACGCTGGATTGTTTTAAGAATGGACTAAAAACTTTCCTTTTTAGAAATGCCTACAATTGTTGATTTTAATTTTTTTAATAGGCTACGCATGCCTTTGAATGTATTGATTTTAATGATTGTCTTTTTACTCTGTTTTTAATGTTATGGTCTTTTAAACTTGTTTTAATTTTCCCTTTTTGTAAATGTAGCACTTTGTAGCACTTTGAGATTTGAAGTAAAATGTAAAGTGTGTTACAAATAAAATTCATTATTATTATTATTATTATTATTATTATTATCTAGAAGATATTGTTGAATCTTGGACCACAAAAGCTCAGCCCAAAAATGCAAACATTAAAAACTGCTCTTTTGGGCTAGATGTTGTGGCTAGTGATGACTGTAGTTATAATTTATGCAAGTGTGCTGTGTGACTGAGTATGAGTTTGATGGGGCTGAACAGTAACACAACACTATTGAATATTTCATGCATTTATTTTACTGTATTAAATATTATGTTTTACTTGCGTCTTTTTTATTTTTTGATGAAGAAAGTGTGACAGCCCTATTTGTCGAGGTGCAGATGTGTCCATATTGTTTTCTGAGGACATAGCAAAATATTTTTGATACACAATACAGTGATGATCCTTCTAACACACAATGATAATCGGCACATAACTGTCAAAGTAATGGCAGTGCTTTTATTTTATTTTTTTGGTTCAGTCTCATTTCATTCCATGCTCATCTGATTCAGTATTATGGCTTATGTTACGGCTGATTTTTGTTGTTTACAAATTTGAAATAAAAACATTTTCATAAAGCCATTTTGTGAACTCTTATTTTAAAATATCTTAAGAGCATTTTTTTTATTAAATTACAGCCCGCTTTGGCATAGTATATTAACTTAAGGTAACTTATAATTTTTGAGTTCCTGTGAACTTTTTAAAGTGGATTTCACTAAGGAACCTCAAGTGGAGTGTAATACAAATTTCAAGTGATGCCTATTTGTCTTGGCAGAATATATTAAGTTGATATAACTCAAAGTATTTGAACTGCACTGTTTGTTTTGAATTAAACTATACTGGGACACATTATGTTCTAACTACTTAAAAAAAAGAACAGCTCACTTAATCATAATAATTATGCAGCACTTAAAACTGTTAAGTTTGTTTACTTACTTTTCTCAAGGTAATTGGTTTCCTAAATCTTTTTAAGTAAACTCAGTCTGTTAGAATTTACAGTGAAGTGCCTTCAGATGACATGTGTTGTGAATTAGCACCATAAAAATAAACTGAACTGAATTAAATTAATAGACTGTATTAATTAGGCCATGTATGCTTCCAAAATAAATTAAGAAATAAATACCCAATCCCCCCCTTTTTTCACAACTAGAATGCTGTATGAACTCAATTGAATTGACAGCACATTTTATTTCCATAAATGTTTATGTCAGTGAACGCCATTATTAAGTTCCTTAGAGTATGCCTATGATTTTTGTAACAAACTTTACATTCAGATTAAAAGTTAAACAAATCCATTGTTGAAGGAAAAGGGCAGGTTCGGGGCTCCATGCTGAGAGGGATGGGAAACATTTGGGGACACGCCTCTCCTATCCAAACCACGTTGTATCTATCCCACCCACTCCACGGAGTTCATGGCTTTCTTTTCTCCACACTGTGCGTAATGGTTGAAAAAAGGATGGACTCCCTTGTAAAATGGGCTCTTATCCTTTTCGGACTCTTCTCGGTCATTTTAAACATCGTCCTGATCGGCATCTACTCAGGCAGGGTCCCCAGATGTTCCCAGCAGCGCGTCCACCCTCTGAAGGGGAAACATGATGACCGCAGCCTCGTCTTTGCTGATCTTTCTCAGGAGGAGTACTTGCAGGTCCAGCGCTACATGCTCCAACAGAAGGACCTGGACATCTCCACCAAGCAGACCACCAGGCCGGCGCAAAATTTCCTCTTTCTAATTGATCTCTCCCTACCAAAGAAATCAGAGGCTCTAGCTTATTTGGATGGAAAAGGTCAAAAGCCAATTCGAGAAGCAACGGTGGTGGTCTTCTTTGGCTCCAAGGGCTTCATAAAGGAGTATGTGGTGGGGCCCCTTCCCAACCCGACATACCACAGAGACGTAACTAAGGAGAGATACAACATGGACCTACCGATCACTAAGCGCCTGGTGACTGTCGGGGAGTATGCTTTGATCTTTAAATTCTTTGAGACAGAGGTTTTCTCTAAACTAGAGAACCTCCTGAAGGAAAGCTTCGACGTCAGAGCTGGAAAACAGCTGAACGCCTTTGAACAGATGCCCCGAGGGGTCCGCTCAGGGGACAGGAAGACCTGGGTTTCCTTTTTCAGGGACATGAGCGGCATGTATATCCACCCAGTGGGCTTCGAGGTGCTGCTCAACCACGAGAGCACCAACGCGTCTCAGTGGAGGGTGGAGAGGCTGCTTTATAACGGCAAATATTTCAACACGGTGGAAGAACTTAAGAGGAAATATGAAAACGGGGATGTGGAGAAAATCGTCTACAAGAAATCTCCTGACTACGGCTCACTTAAACCCAGAAACAGGCCGCTGCAGATCCCACCGCAGCAGTTTTACGCAGAGGGGAAGCGCTTCGGCATCCAGAGGAACCATGTCCTCTATCTGGACTGGAGCTTCAGCTTCGGACTCAGTTCCCTCACAGGCATGAGGGTGTTTGACGTGAAGTTTAACGGGGAGAGAATCGCCTATGAAATCAGCGTGCAGGAGGCCATGTCGGTGTATGGCTCGATCACACCGGGGATGATCCTCACCAAGTTTCTGGATTCAAGCATCGGCATCGGGCGCTTTGCGCATGAGTTGGTCCGCGGGGTTGATTGTCCCTATAACGCCGACTATGTGGACACATACCGTTACATCGATGTTCCGGCCCCAGTACGGTTCAGGAACTCCATATGCATCTTTGAGCACAACATGGGTCAGCCCCTTAGAAGACACTTCGCTGATTTCTTCCACAACAACTACGGAGGGATGGTGAACAGCGCCTTGGTCTTCAGAACCATCACAGCTATAGGGAACTACGACTACATGTGGGATTTCATCTTCTACCAGAGTGGGTCAGTTGAAGCTAAAGTTCATGCCACTGGATACATCTCCTCCTCTTACCTGGTTGACGGTAATCTGAGGTACGGACACCAAGTGGCGGATAAGGTTCTGGGCAACATTCACACGCACTTCATCAACTTCAAGGTGGACCTAGATGTGGCAGGTAAGCAGGGGCGGAGCTAGATGGGGGGGTCGGGGTGGTAACATAGGCAGATTTAGGAAATTTGGGGCCCTGGGCAAAGACAGGCAGAGGGCCTCTGAATTGAGAAGACAACACATAGAAGAGACCCATTCTACAGATAGAGAAATGTTAATACACTGTATTCCCCAACAGTGCTATAAACTCAATACAATTGCAGAGCTGTACTCAAAGCTGCCATATTGTTCAGGCACCACAAATGTTTTAAGTTCACTCAACTGGTTACCCAGTTATTGATTATTTTGACAAGATTAACTCTTAGTATATGAGTAGAACTGACCCCCAAACTCATTCCTTTCAAGAGTGGATTGAATTTACGTCTGACGTAATAATGACGTGCCAGTTCATTGGATAGGTTCATATCAACATGGCAATTAACCTAACAAACCAATATAAAAAAAATACAAAAAATCGGATATCCCAAATGAATGGTGGATGAACTATATGGAACCCCGAATGATTCATAATTAAATAAATAAATAAAAATTATGAAATAAATACAATTTTGATAAATAACAAACAAATATTTAATATGGTCATGAAATAAAAACAAGGTAATGTTATTATGAATATATATATTTTATTCTTTAATATATTTGTGTGTTATTTATCAAAATGGTATTAATTTAATAAAGTTTTTAATTTATTTAATTATGAATCATTCGGGGTTCCATAGAACTAGTCTATGATCGATTGTGGTGAATGTAATCTGTTACAATTTGACATCGTACGACTAGTTGTTTGCAAGGACTGCTGTTCACTCGGATGTAGGCAGGCAACAACATTGAGATCATCAACAACACCAGCCTGCAAACCGTAGCCTGTGACTCTGCACAAAAGGTAAGAACACACTTGTAGGCTACTTTGTTTATTTATTTGTTTGTCGTCTTCCAGCGGGCAGACCTCAGCTGTTTTTGCGAGTTAACTAAAGTTCGTTGTCTCAGCTGTGAGCAAGCTAGCCTTTTGCGCTACTTTAGTGGAAAACAGGACAGACAAACCGTATGGTTTTAGCACTACCAAATATCTTTTATCATCCGTTTCTGGTGTTAAGCCTACTACTTTGGCCGCAAAAGTTATAGCCAGCCAGGCGCCGAAGCTATGTTTCATAACTTGAGCCTATGATAGGAAGCCAAGTAATATCCAAACTTGCCGACAATAGCCTAGCTTAGCATGATCACTGTCAATGTGTCTGATTCTGATAGGCAGTGTTAGGCAAGCTACTTCTCCAGTGTAGTGAGCTAAGCTATCAGTTACTCAACAATAAATTAAGCTTCACTACACAAAAGCTACCACCTAAAGAATTATAGCAAGCTAAGTTACACTAATGTGTTAACAGTAGCTTAACTACATCAGAAGCTACTTAACGTTTTACCAACCTAATATCAATTCAAAATGAGTCTGATACACTGGTTAAAATATTTATTAAAGATCAGCCAATGACATAACACAGTGTAAAAATTGTTTTATGATCAGCATAATAAAAAAAACTAAAGTATTTACTAGTAGACAAAAAAAATAAACAATCTGCTGTTATTAGAACCAAATGAAAGGTACTGTGTAGTGTTCTACACATGGAGACATGGCTGTGAGTTTGCATTCAATGGACATCTCTAGGGAAAACAAAACCCTACAAAAGGCATCTTATTTCTTTAGGGTCTCCCTTAGAGAAAACTTCTTCAGACCTCAATTAAACAGTCGATTCAAGTAACAAATGAAACTGTTTACAAAAAGGTGAAAAAATAAAGAAGCTAATTAATATATATACATTTATTTCTCACTGTATAATTTAACTTCTACCCACATATTTATTCATTGTATTTTGGGGGGTAATTAATTGAATGCTTATTTATTTATTGAGCATGTATTTATTTATGTATTTATTTTATATACGGTAGAGTTGTTCCTCCATACCTAAAAAATCTTATCTGTGCAAATAAGCCTTAAAACAGATTTATGTAAACATCCTGTCTGGTAAACTAGGCCATGAAAATACAATATCTAAGTTTGGCTACTGCTCTCTAATGAGAATATCTTAGTGGCACTCATCAGACGTAAGAAACTACTAATTTGATTATTTGCTTCGATGTCCAAATACATCATACTTTCATAAAATAATGCAACATACTCTACCCTATCTGTGGACATTGTTATTTGCAAAGTAGGTGCTGGATAAACAAATAAAAGTGCTTTAATGTTGCTTTAAAGAAACAGACTTATCCTCACTAAAGATACCTGTAGCATTTTCCGTTATCAAAATCGGACATGCTCTACAGCCAATAATATTTAGCAGTGTAGCCACCCCTCAGGAAGTGGTCTAACACACACACCCAGTTGTGAGGAAGTGCAACGATTTTAGCATAATTTGACCTATGGGTAGTGATGCCATGCTGCAGCAATATATAACTTAATGTCATTGTGACCAATTTTCTTTTTGCATTTTCAGATTTGTGCAGAATTCCATCGAATAACAAATATAAATTTAAAGAGTACATTTTATTCTGCATTTGATAAGTACATGCCACGGCTAATGACGATGTACCGTGAGACAGTGGCCCGCACTGGCAAAACTTCTGAATTGCTAGGAAACATCTTCAGGACCTATGATCTCCTTGTATGTAACATTTCCTACCTCATGACAATTTGTACTACAGTATTATTTAATATATGCATATGATTAATATTCTGCAATTCTGTCTTCCCATTACCCACAATCCCTCTGTCTTCTAGGAAGACGATGTTAACAGCAGACGAACAATTGCTCTGCAGGCACTTCCCATCTTCCTGCGTGAAGATGCTGCTGGATTTTTTAAGACCTGGAATGTTAGTTTATGATTCAACTAGGGCTGCAACAACGAATCGATAAAAATCGACTTTTAAAAGCGTTGGCAATGAATTTCATCATTGATTAGTTGTGTCGCGCGATTAATGCGTCATCCGCCGCCGCCGTCATCACTGCCACTTGACTGAAACGGGGGAAGAAAAAAAAATTACGGCAGAGCGAGTCAGCAACGCAGGTGCGCAGTGTTGCCAACTCAGCGACTTTGTCGCTATATTTAGCGACTTTTCAGACCCCTCCAGCGACTATTTAAAAAAAAAAAAGCGAATAGTGACAAATCTGGCAACTTTTTACGGTGTCACTGGCGGCTTTTGGAGACTCTTACGTGAACGCATGTATCGTTCCTACTCTGCCGTGAGGCGCCTCCCCCATCTCAACCCCGTTCTCCCACAGGAGTCCCTCTCAGCGCTGCAGTCAGAGCCGCAGGATGTTTACCCTCAGCGTCCAGACTGCAAATGAAGCGCGTATGCGCCGGGATTGACGGCGCAAATTGATCACAATAATTAAAACAGCCTTTATAAATAAATTAACTTGCAAATTATGAGGGCAAGGCTTTTAAAGTTTAAATCTTCTGGCAAAGATAAAGTAAAGATCCTGCAATTTATGGAAGTAAAGCAGAATAAAATCCAGCAAGATCAGTAATATGTCAATTAATTATCTGCCACATTCCCATGTAAATATCTGTCTTTGGAGGATGTGTTTTTTAGCACCCCTAGTTCTCTCATTTTTATTCCAAATACAATTTATAATTTGAATCACAGGGCTATTTTTATCTCTATGGTTCAGTATTTTCTCAAGTAGCAACTTTAACTGCTATACTTTCCTGTCTTAAAAGGCAGAACTCTTCTAGTCTAAAAAAACCTCATTTGTTGAAATGGGGGGACCTATTGTTTGAACCCCTTAGGGGCTTTTAAAAACAAAAATGCCTGTCTTTTTTTGCGCTTTATGAAACGAAGTAGCCTATATTTTGTGGATGTACAGCTACATTTCTCATGTAAGTTTGCGTAGTTTTAACACAAACATTTATTTTTCATATTGCACCAGTGCAGTTAATGAGCAACCTGTACTTGTGTGCTTGCTTGTTCTGTCTAAAATGTTTATTTTGGAATAAAGAGGTTAATATAAAAAATATTTTTTGTCCGATTCATCGATTAATCGAAAAAATAATCGGCCGATTCATCGAATTTTAAAATAATCGTTAGTTGCAGCCCTAGATTCAACTGTGTGTACTCTTTTACTCTTTCTTTTTCTTAGTTTGTGTATCTCTATAAATATATTTTTTTTCTATTTAACTCTCTGTTACTGCCAAAAGACAACAACCACAACCCTCTTCCTAGCCACCAGAAAAGCTATTAAATCATACTGTACTACAGTAATTCTCCAAGAATGTCATATTTGGGAATTTTACCTGAACTTTTCATTCACTGGTATTTCATATTAAATACACATGTAGTGTTTTTCATTGACTGCTCTACTCATTAACTAATTACTGTCATGTCATCTTTAGGCAGAAGACATTGACCTGCCAGACCTCTCGGATACAACTGTAGCTGTTCTCACCATCGGCGTCGCCAGACCCCATTTACTGGGGCACGTGCCCCAGTATAAATGAGTTGTGCCCCAGTATAAATCTCATGAATATTTGCAACAGTGATACATTTTTTTAATGCATCAATTTAGATAATTCCAACGGGAGGAGACGTATATTTCTACTCAAATGCGCAGCAAGTTTGTTGGTAACTCCAAATTGAGGATGTAATAGCGCCCCCACGTCAGCGCATGTCACTGCATGAACTGCAGGTAAACTAACGTGCTGCTCTCAACTGAGTTGGATGGGACACTGTGCGGTCACGACGCATTTTTAGTTCTGGTAATGTTTCTTACCTGTCAATTTTATTATTTTCCCAGTGAAACCACATGATTTATAGGCTACTAACTGAAAATGACTGCATTGGTTTGTAGATGGATATCAGGAAATTCCTCACACGAAGCAGAGACAGGGAAGCAGTAAAACAAGATGAGAGAGGGAGGTAAGGTCCTGTGATGAATTAGTGATTTAAGCTAACTAGTTACATTAGCAACGTTATAAGCAATATGATAGATATTTGCATAATAATAAATTTACGTTTTTTAATGTTTGCTGTAGAGAATGAGAATGAAGGTGCTGGAGTAGGAAAGGGAGGAGGAGGCGAGACTGACAGGCAAGAGACAGGTGAAAGACAGGAGAGACAGGTGAGAGACAGGACCATGAAGGTGATGAGGGAGCAACAACCAGCGTCCACAAATAAGAAGGGGACATTAGTGACTTAGGGGGAAAGCATGATAGTCCTAGACAAGTGAAGTTGTCCCACCATCCCCAGGACAAATTTGGAGTAAAAAAAACTTTAATTTAATTCAAAATGGTTATAAAGCTTTTCCTGGTTGAAAAGAAAGCCTTTTTATCAAGGATATGCAGTGTGTTTTAAACTTGCTTGATAACACCATGTTCCCCACACTAATGCAGGTCATCCAGATCTCCCTCACCATCCCAGTCAACAGCTGGAGTTGTGAAAGGTCATTCAGTGTGTTGAGAAGGATCCACACTTGGCTGAGGTGCACAATGGGACAAGACAGGCTCCATCATCTTGCTATTTTATCAGTTGAAAAGGAAGAACTTTCTAAGCTGAGTCACAGTCTAGTGATTGACCGCTTTGCAAAAATGATAAATAGGAGGTACACTTTAATGCTCAAAAAAAAAAAAGAAAAACTTAGTTCGGGTTGAGTTAATCTTTCCCCTAAACTAAAACTCTGAAACCTAGGAATTAATGATTACTTCAGAATGTGTATAAGGAAACTTTTTATTTGTCAAAGATGGTGATGTCTTATTTTTTATAGCTGCAATGTTGAAAATGTTCATGTTTGTTAAAACAAATATGCTCTTATACTCATTAATATCTCAACTGGTAATTTTGGTAGGAATGTATCAGGGTGGGGCAGTGTGCTTGTCTGTATTTATGTATGGAAGGAGGGGCATATGCACTAGGGGGCCAGTGCCCCAGTAAAGCTTTGTGCCTAGCAACGCCCTTGGTTCTCACTGTCTCGAATGATACAGTCTCCCTTGTGAAGTTTGGTTCTGCAATACATTCTATAGTTCTTGAGGGAGAGATTGTGGTATGTGATATACTATAGCACAGTTAACAGAGACATTCATTTTGCTTTTTGGCTTGATTTATGCACTACATCTACAGTATCCCAAGAAATTGACATATACATTCAATTTTATTCAGAAAGTTGTAATGGGTTTGGATGACCTGAAGCGGTTACCTCCGAGACTGCTTAGCCTTAAAAATGAACTGATGATGGATGAGTAAGCAGTCTGCTTAAAAGATGTCGTTGTTACTACCAGCATGGTGATACTCAAGCAACCATTTTGTCTTTGTTTTTTGTTTTCGCTTTTTTATTTATGTTGGCCTATTATTTTTGGATCGGCCTATTATGTTGGCCAATTTTTCGTTTTTTGTGGATACAGAGAAGCCGATGTTTCAGAAGGCAGCTTTAAACAGACCTGCAGATTTGTAATTGTTTTTGACTTGATCATTTCAGTGTTTGGCTTGAGGTCCCAGAGTTTCGTACGGAAATGCTTTGGTCTGCCTTGAAGTCACTGGGAACTAAAAGATCTTTTACGGTTTTATTTGCTGAATAAATAAAACCGTATTTATTCAGCATTTTGATTGAAAATGTGGTTGTTATTTGTTTTATTTTCTGTATTAACCCCATTGCTGGGGACATTGTTCTGAATTCTAATGGAATTCATAAATAAATGGAATCTGCAGTAAAATTGTCTTTTTAATATTTTTTTATTTGAATCATACAAATAAAATATATTTGATTTTTAGAAAAATAGCTAACATATACAGGCAATAAAATGTGTTTAAATACAGTTAAGTCAACTTAAAAATATAAAAGGCTGAATTGACAATGTTTAGGTCTGAGAAACTGAATGAGTCATGGTGATAACATGAATATATTATTAGGGGTGATAACTTAAAAAAATCAACTCCGTTTCCAGTGTCAATTTTGTTAGTTTTAACATTAGTTTCAAAATGATCAGGTTCATTAAACTTATCAAAAATTTAAGTATTGATTACTTAAAATGTTAGTTTGTGAAATTATTGTGTTTCAGTTCATCAACTTCCTCAAAATAAATGAGTGTGAATAACTTTTCTAGTTTAGAGTAGTAATTACTTAAAATGTTTGTTTGTTGAAATTATTTGTTTTAATGTTGTTCATTTGACCAAAGATTTTAAGTGTAAAGAGCTTGTCTAACTAATATGTAGTAATTACTTAAAACATCTTTTTCTCACATTATTCTTTTTAATTTTTTCCTTATACTCAAAGATTTTGAGCACTAACAAAAGTCTCATTTTAAGTAGAAATTACTTAAAATATTCTTTAACATAGGTAAATATTTTGAGGTAATCAGTTTCATCAAATATTTTGAGTTCATTGAACCTGTTGGGGTTTACAGTGTAGAATAGACATCCATTATCTGTTCTAGGTTGTGTCCCTCTCTTCTTGTCCCTTTTCTTCTTGTTTTCCTCTCTATGTTTTGTACTCAGCTGACTTTTCATGCTGTCTCTAAAGGAATGAAAGATTTTTTCCAAGCACTAAGCTCACTTAGCTGATTGCTCCTTCCTGTGTTTCCAAAAAGGCCAAAGTAAATAACCCCGTCCTTCTTTTCACTGTAGACAAGCCATGATCTGCTTCTCTGTTCTCCATTTTTCATTTGGATGAAATAATAGCTGCATGAATCATGACAGCAGACAAGATAGAGCACTGAGAAAAATAATCTGCTTGATTTACTTAAAAAGTATAATGAATTTTTTTGCATAATTTTATTACGTAGATCCAACAAGATTATTCTTTGTAGAAATTACTTATTTTCTCTGTGTGTTAAAATAAAGTTTTCACATAAAGTTAACTTAATTTTAGCACTGCTCTAGTAATTTTTTGTGTGTTGGATCTACATACCTTTAAGAGTTCTAAATGTGTACTTTTGTCTGAATCTAACTTAATTTTTACATTTCCAAATTACAAATTTAAGTTGGATCTACTTTGTTTAAAAACATTTAGTGTATTTTAAATTTATGTATTTATGTATATTTATTATTTTCTAATTAGCAACTCAGTATTTCTACTGAAATTATACATGCATATATTTCTTTTTTTTTTTTTTTTTTTTACTACTTTTGCTACTATTTACTAGTTCAACACTGGTACTTGTAAACAGAATGCCAGTAGTATGTGCTCATCAAATATGGAATTGTAGTTATTACATTACATAAAGCTGACATTTTGGTCATTTGATAGTGAAAATTGACAAGTATAGTAAAATATATACACCACACAAGTTGAGACATTTTGTACAATAGAAAATTGTGCTTCATAGTGGTGGTCGCAGAAAGCTCATTAAGTGAAAGTTGACAGGCTTTATTGTCGTCAGAATTATACTCACAAAATTTAAATCAATACATTTCAAGATGTGCATGCTGTGGCCAAGGGTTAACCGTAATATGATAAAACAATAAAATTACAATATATTCACATTGTGCAAAACATTTTACATGAATTATGTGTTTCTCACTTCTTTAGAGTAACGTTTCCTTTAAATGCTTATTAAGAGACTCACAAACATAACTTTAACATAAGTTAAACCTTACTCTCTTGACATCGCTATAAGAAAATGCAGTAGTGCAACTAGAAAGTGAATTCAGAGAACCTGAGAAATTTAACTGTAAAATTTTAAGACAGGGATCTAACTCAAACCCTGTAAAATCAACAACACCTGTAGCTCTTCTATTTGAAATGCACGGGGTTTCCAGACCAACAAAACGAGAAGGGGAGCAATTTTTCATACTGAGTAAATGAAACAAGGTATTGTTTGTTGTGAGAGTGTATGTCAAAAGATTGGCTGGGATTACTTAGATGAATTTTGTAAAGGGAAAAAATGCACATTGTCTTGTGTTTTGAACAAACGCAGATGAATTCAATACCAGATTTATTATCTATAGATACTAAGGTAACATTTTATTGTTAATATTACACATTTACATTCACTCAGATTTGTTTTTTTCAGTGAGCATTATAGAAGTCTTGGCGATGGTTGTTGTGTGATGCTTTAAGATAGATTGGTTAATCCAAATTGTGTATTCATATACGCGTTTGACTGTGCTTCTAGTTTTTTCTTTGAGGGGTGGGGTCCATAAGCCCTGGCATGGAAAAATGCCAGGGCTGAAAATCTTTCCAGTCTGAGCCTGCCTGCAGAGTTGTTGCAAGAAAATGTTAGTAAGGGCGACCAGGCAGTAACCACTGTACACTGAGGGGTGGCCAAAAGCAGACAGGTGCCGGAACCTCAGGGTCAATCTACACTGATCCAAAAGGAAAATGAACAACCACAACATCCATATTTTCTAAATAAAGAATAACTTTACTTTCCTACAGCCTTTGCTTGCAAACAGAAGCTTATATTTAAACATCCATGCTGTCTAAATTAAAGGTGTAGTGGACAAAGTTCCTTCA